AGAGGTATTACACAATAATTTTACAATTTTAGGAGAAAGAAGTGAGTTATCGATAATCAGATTTTAAAACTCACAATTTTAGAACATCTTATTAAAGTGTGATTTGCTATGGATAGTAGAGATTTCAAAATCGTTTAATATAATCTATTCCAACCAAACTCTAATTGTTGAGATCTAGTCTGATTGACTTGACAATTTTTAAAAAATAATTAAAAAAAAGTTATAAAACTTGAATGACTTATAAAGTCACAATTACAAAAATATTATCTTATTAAATTTTATCCACAAAAATGTTCTCCAGGAACTATAATCGCAAGTTATATAAATATAGTGTAGAACAAAAAGATCGAAATCCACAATATTTTATACTTCCTCTGTTTTTATACTATCATTTTTTCTATGAAAAGAATCGAATGTAGTAAAATAGTATTTCTAACAAAATAATATTTATTCAAACAATGTATAAGAACATGTAATTAAAAAAAGTTTCAATCTGGTAGCTATAACCTAACTCATTTTTTGACCTGTTGGATTGAATTAAAACGTTGGATTATATAATCCAACTCAATTCGTTTCCGGAGGGTAAATATATTAATTTATCTTGAGTTTAATGGATCGGACCAAGTCTAGAAATGTGTTTCTGCAATTTGATGTGGGCTATCAATGTCAATTGGGTCCAACGAAGAAAACTTGGTTCAGGTCCATGAGATGTAAAGTAGACTTTGTACTCGTGGATATTTATAAATAATATTCATAATGGATAGATAATAGATTTTATAAATAGATATTTATGGATAACGTATTAGATACTTTTTATTATTTAAATTTATATAAATTTAATTTTATTTGTACTTTGTTTAGGTTTATAATAGTTTAATAATGTGTTTTATATCTTTTATTCGAATTTATATGTAATCAAAATTTTTTATTTTAATAATTTTTATTTAAACTTTAAATTTATATAATTAAGCGTTTAGAATTCAGTTATTAAATTAATTTATTATTATTAGTATAATTGTAAAGAATATTTAAATTTTATAATTTTCAAACTTTTTGTGAAAATTTTATTTGAATTTTAGTTATAATCTTCAAAAAAAATGCAAATTTTTATAATTTTTAAAAGAAAAAAATTGTTACAAATAACTAAAATATATAGTTAAAATATTTTGTTGAATATTTTTAAGATATTTTTTTTATAGTAAATATCTACTAATATTTATAGCTATATACGGATATTGAAAAAAAAGTATGTGGATACTACTCAACATATATTTGCACTAATATAGAGATAGTATGAGACAAATATTTATGTAGGAAGAATAATAGGGAGCTACTACTGGTATGTGTCCAGTCCCATTGACATTTTATCCATAACCATCTCTAAAAAATTAAATTAAAATAAGGAATTAATCACGTAATTAATATTTAAAATGTGATCATAATTCAACTTAAGAATTAATAAGGTCAAATATTAAATGTTTAAGGAAGAGATAAATATTTTTTTAGAACCAAAATGAATAGACTTTTACTTTCAATTTTTTAAAAAATAAAATTATTCTAAATCTGTCAAATGGAATTTATAATTTTTTACTAAAAAATTAAAATTTAATTAGTGCCTGAAGTTTCAAAAATTAGTCTTTGGAAATATAAGTTTGGGCTGTTGCAATGTGACCATGGATAAACAATAGAAGATATAAAGTCGATTTTAGATTCACCACATTTAATTTAATTTAGTTTTTTTATAATGTAAGTCATGAATTAAATCACTGACTTATACCAGTTTTCTTTTAAAATTAATATAGCTGTGTATATAAACACGATTTTTTTTTTCAAGTTGTGTTTATACACACGATATTATTTTTTAATTTTTATAAATTACATTAATAAAGTTAATTTTTTTAAAGATTTTAAATAGACATTTAGAATTAATAAATATAATTAAATAATGGAAAATAAATTTAGATGAAAAATTAATTATTAATATATAAATAACAATATATTTATATTGTTCAAGTTTATTGATATAAGAATGTTTATATTTTATTAATCATTATTTTTTCACCCTGTTGTGCCTACATAGACACATATAGTAGTGAACATGCACACACAGTAATAATTGCTAAATATGAACAATTGTGAAGTTGAGTCTAAAGATGCAATAGTTTAAAAAAAATTTTTGTTAAAATAGTTTATGAAATTTTAATTCAATTCACCTCTCTTATTTTATTGTACATAATAAAGTCAAGTATTTTAAAATATCTACAATAAATATTACATAAGATAACATAAAAAAAAATCTCACTATAAATATAATAAATATATTGTATGTAAATATAAATTTATTTGACATATAGTTATATATAATTTTAGTATTGATTTTGAATGAATTTAACAAGATATATTGGGTGTTGTTGTAATCTATATATACTTTTTTTTTAATAATATATTAACATATATTATATCTATAATATAAGTAAAAGTAATTTTTAATAACAAGTAATGTATCACTATATAGTGTGTATTAAAAATCCTTAACTAATTATTGGAAAGATTGTAAGGTACTTCAAGGATAGTTAGTGAGTTAATCCCACAAATGACTTGGTAGTGCATTTCAAGGTTGTGATACGTTCATATCCAGCTATACTAGTCTAGACGGTGAAATTGAAGTTTCTTAATTTAAGTGGTGACACCCAAGAAATTAAAGGATAGAGATTGGTATCCCAATTTAATTGTCGGTCTAGCGGGTGCATGAAGAATGAAAATTATCAGGTTGGTTCAGTAAGGTTAAATCACTTAAACTGTTCGTGTTAGGAGATCTCTGCAGGTGATAATGTTTGATGATGCATTAGTTGTGATTTATGCATATGATGTGGTGTTGATTGATGTTGTTCATATGCATTGGGTGAATACCATGTTGTATGATATAGTTGTGATGCATGTTTGAATTGCTTGGGTGTTGAACTTTCAAACATGTTGATGTTAATTTGATGGGTTTTATGACCTAAGTCATGAGGTGTTGTTTGCTTGGTTTACATGTTGGTGTCCCTGATATAATTGTATTCTCCTATACTTGTTGTATGTTTGATCCTTTTTGGATATCTAACTTACCTTTATCTATTTTCATGTGGTTGAAATTGTGATGGTTATATATACTTACTGTGAGAGTAAAGTACAAATAAGCCTAAGGTGATGTGCAGTAGGAGGTCATCATGCAAGTGACAGTACATTTGGTTATGTTTGGTGGTGCTACTTTTGTGTAACTTTTGTATAGATGTTGTTTGACTAATAACTTGGGTCGTATATTTGTCATTTGTTTGATTAATTTACTTATACTATATTATATTTGTATACTTGTTTTACACTTATATGCATGTTGTATGGTATATATCCAATTTGTCCCAGAAAATACTATTGATATCACTGAAAGAAAAGGGTTTAGAATTGCGAGTAAATCCATCTATTTTGTATTATAATTAATTCATTTTTAACAAAAAAAATAAGAAGTGAGAACAAATATCCAATAAATACAAATAATTTAATAGAATGTACATAATTATTTATGATAACATTATATATATATATATATTAGGTTTTCATGTTATAATAAAATTTGAATTATTTTAATATATAGTGACTAGTTAGGATAAATGAATATTATCATAATATCAATCAACAAAATGACATTTCATCTTAAGTCCTTACTCATTTAAATCTCCAAAGTCAAACTTTCAACTATAAATTAATTTAAACTTTATTCCTTATGACCATAGAATAATATTTATTTTTATAACGCATGAAGAAATAATAACAAGACAAACTTAGAATATTTTAACAAAACTATATTATTGTTAATATTAATATAAAAATAATTAAACTAAATAAGTTTGAGTATTTTTAATAATTTAAAATGTAATATAATATAGTTTAGAAAAGTGGAATGTATTAAAAAATATTAATTTAGTAAATGAAAGTGATAAATATTATAAAATAATTAAATAACATAAATTAGGAATATCTTATTAATTATTACGAGTAAAAAATATCTTAGATAAAGTAAGTAAATGAAGTTAGAGACACCTCACTAAGTAAATACATATAAATATAATATAATATAAACAAACATAATAATATATAAAATTTAAAAGGATAAAGGTCTCCTCCTCCTTACCTTATTAAGAAAATAATATGACTTAAAGGTACTCTAAAATTGTATATATTTTTTTTCTTTTTCTCTTTTCTTTTTCTCTCTTCTTTCTTAATATTCTTTCTCTACGTAATATTTTTTCTTTTTCTCTTCTCAATTTTTTTTTAATTCCATGTTCCCTCACCCATGACCTATTTATAACAGTTTGTAATGATTACTTTTTTATTTTTATTATTATTTATTTAAAACTTACTTAGAATTTAATCATGCATTAATTTTTAGTTACTAGGAGATAAGATCTTATCTATCTGTGCAGATTTTATTTGCCGTAATTTATTTTTTTGATTTTTTTTTTGAATTTTTTTTCTCTTTCTTTTACTCATTCATAATATATTAAAAAATTAATATAATTACTTATGTTAAACATTTGAAATTTTAAATATATATATATATATATATATATATATATATATATATATATAAGGTCCAAATCTGGCTAAGGTGTCAGAGTGTACAAAATACATCCAATATAGTTATACTAAGTAGCTAAATACAACAAAATGATCAAATGCCATCTACCAGTTATAGACCCTCCTTAGTACACCAACCTAACTCTGCTCTGCTCCCATACATAATATGATCATCGCAGTCCAAATCACATGGAAACAACAAAGGGTAAGCTAGTGAAAAGATTCAACATACAAATATAAATATATAAATGGTAAACAGCTACAACTATCAGCACATCAACCAGCTTAACAACATCAGCTTATAATATATCACAGCATACATCTCACATCATTCAGCAAATAATAGCAGTAAACAGCAGTAGTCACACAATGCGTCGTCACGCATATCAAACAGCCATAGACCTAGCCTTCCTTACCTCGGTACGAAGATCCGAGCTCCGGGAAGAGAAGAACGAAGGAGAAGCTTGAACGAATGGAGAATAACAAACTTGAGCAACTAAAAGAGGAGAAGAAGAGCTCTGAATCACCTACTCAACAGCACCACCTTAAGACAACAAGGGTTTGAGGAAAAGAAACAAGATAGTGAGTGAGAGTTGGGAAAAGAGAGAGTTTGAGTGAGTGAGAGTGAAGGAATGAGATAGTGAAGAGAAGAGAGTGGGTGAGAGTGAGGGGAGAAAAGAGAGAGAGAAAGGGTTTCACAACCTCCCCAACAACAGGAATTTTCGTCCCCGAAAATAGACTTACTTGGGAAAAGAAACGGATATCACTCCCTACACTGCTGCTCAACCTCCCAACTAGCCTCACCAGTAGCTGCATCCCACAACACCTTCACCAGAGCAATGGACTTGCCCCTCAGCTCCTTCAGCTTATGATCAACCACAACTACCGGCAACTTCTCAAAAGTCAGATTCTCCTTCACCCGCACATCATCTAGCTCCACCACATGACCAAGGTCATGAACATACTTCCTCAGCTGGAATACATGAAATACATCGTGTAGGTTTGAAAGAGACGGTGGCAAGGCCAACCGATAAGCAACCGGACCCGCACGTTGTATGATCTGATAGGGACCAACAAACCTCGGTGTCAACTTCCTTGCCTTCAGTGGTCTACCCACACCAGAAGTCGGGATCACCTTCAGAAACACATGTTCCCCTTCAGCAAACTCCAAAGGCTTACGCCTTTTATCAGCATACGATTTTTGCCTACTCTGAGCAGTCTTCATCCTCTCCTGAATCAGTTTCACCTTCTTAGTAGTCTGTAGGATCAACTCCGGTCCCACAACCACTGACTCACCATCCTGATACCAACACAGAGGAGTCCTACACCTCCTGCCATACAAGGCTTCAAACGGCGCCATCCCAATACTAGCATGAAAGCTATTATTGTACGTGAACTCCACCAGCGGTAGGACCTCCTCCCAGCTTCCCAAGTGGTATAACACACAAGCCCTCAGTAGATCCTCCAAGGACTGGATTGTCCTCTCTGACTGACCATCCATCTACGGATGATAAGCAGAACTCAGCTTCAGTTTCGTGCCTAAGGCTTGGTGTAGACTCTGCCAAAATCTGGAAGTGAACCTCGGGTCTCTATCTGAAATAATACTGGAAGGCACCCTGCACAATCGTACTATTTCCCTCATATACAACTGTGTCAACTTCTCCAAGGACCACTTGATGTTGACAAGCAAGAAATGTGCACACTTGGTCAACCGATCAATAATCACCCAGATAGCATCACTATTCCTAGCCGACCTAGGCAACCCCACAATGAAATCCATAATAATGTTATCCCACTTCCATTCCGGAATCTCCATCTGTTGCATCAAACCACTCGACTTCTGATCCTCCACCTTCGCCTTCTGACAGGTCAGACAAGCCGCCACATATTCAGCTATCTCCCTCTTCATACCAGACCACCAGAAAGTCTTCTTGAGGTCTTGGTACATCTTAGTCATATCAGGATGTATGCTAAGTCTGCTCTTGTGGCCTTCCTCCAACACAACTTTCTTCAGCTCAGCATCCTGAGGTAGGCAAATTCTGTCCTTGAACCTCAAGATTCCATCTTCACCCAGCTCAAAACCAACAGCCTTCTCAATACCCAGCAAACCAAGAAGCTTCACCAGCTCAACATCTTGCAACTGCTTCTATCCAACCTGCTTCAAGAACTCACTAGTTATGGTAATTATCCCACAACTAATGTGATCCTGAGCTAACACCACACAGAGGTTCAGATCTCTAAACTCCTCCACCAGCTCCAGCTCTTTCACCATCATACTAGACATGTGGATGGATTTTCTACTCAGCGCATCGACGACAACATTGGATTTACCAGGATGATACATCAACTAGAAATCATAATCCTTCAGAAACTCCATCCACCGCCTCTGCCTCATGTTCAGCTCCTTCTGATCAAACAAGTACTTCAAACTCTTGTGATCACTGAAGATGAACCGAGCACCATACAGATAATGTCTCCATATCTTCAAGGCAAAAACAACAGCTGCCAACTCCAAGTCATGAGTGGGATAATTCCTCTCATGGTTCTTCAGTTGCCTTGAAGCATATGCCACCACTTTCCTGTTTTGCATCAACACGCACCCCAGACCCTAGTGAAAAGCATCGCAGTACACATCAAAAGGTTCACCAGAGTCGGGCAACACCAGCACAGGAGAAGTAGTCAACCTCCTCTTCAGTTCCTCAAAACTCCGCTCACAAGCATCAGTCTAAATGAACAGTTGCTCCTTTCTTGTCAACTGGGTTAGAGGCGCTACTATCTTGGAGAATCCCTCAATGAACCTTCGATAGTAACTCACTAAACCCACAAAACTTTGAGTATCAGTGACAGTTCTTGGACGCTCCCATTGCAACACCGACTCCACCTTAGCCGGATTAACAGCAATCCCCTCAGTTGAGATCACATGTCCCAAGAACTTCACCTCATCCAACCAGAACTCGCATTTTGAAAGCTTAGCGTACAGCTGCATCACCTTCAAAATCTCTAGTACCAACCTCAAATGCTCACCATGCTCCTCCGGGGTCCTTGAATAAATAAGGATTTCGTCAATGAACACCACCACAAATTTATCCAAGAAGGGCCGGAAGATCCTATTCATGTAATCCATGAACACTGTCAGGGCGTTGGTCACACCAAACGACATCACAACATACTCGTAGTGACCATACCTAGTCCTAAAAGCAGTCTTCGGTATGTCACCCTCCTTCAACCTGATCTGGTGATAACTTGACCTCAAGTCAATCTTGGAGAAAACCGATGCTTCCCTCAATTGATCCATTAAGTCATCTATCCGGGGAAGTGGATATTTGTTCTTAGTGGTCAACTTGTTCAACTGCCGGTAATCCACACAAAGTCGACTACCTCCATCTTTCTTCTTCACCAACAACACGGGAGCACCCCACGGCGATACACTCGGCCGCACCAACTGCTTCTCCAACAAGTCCTCCAACTAACCTTCCAGCTCAACCAGCTCAGCAAAGGCCATCCTATAGGGAGCCACTGACACTGGCCTCGCACCTGGAACCAAGTCAATGCTAAACTCCATCTCCCTAACAGGAGGTAACCCAGGCACCTCACAGGGAACACCTTAGCAAAATCCCTCACCACATCAATCTCCGCAATGACCCTCTCGGTCTCCACACCTATGGCAGCAAGCAGAAGACAACACTCTGCTCCACCCCTCAACAATGACTCAGCTTGGCCAGCTGAAATCAACAGTTCATCCTCCACCTGAGGAAAGATCAACCGCCTATTGGCACAATCTATAAGGATGCGATTGGCAGACAACCAATCCATCCCTAAGATTATGTCAATATCCACTAAAGGTAAACAAATCAAATTCACGTTATACCTCTTCTCATTCACAACTATCGGACAACCAGCACACAGCTCAAAAGTAACTACCGAAGCAGAAGCGGGCGTCGACACAAGCAGTCTCAACCCCAAATCACACACCGGCACACCCAGCATAGCAACACAAGCATAAGATATAAAAGAATGAGAAGCACCAGAGTCGAAAAGAATCATCATATCCTTACCAGCAGCTCTACCTTTTCCCTTCACAAGATTTGAGGAAGTAGAAGCTTTAGCCCCAGTCAAAGCGAATACTCTACCAGTTGTAGTAGGTCTGTCACCCCTCTGAACATCGCCTCTCTGGGCACCACCCCTCTGAGCATCTCTCTCCAGTCTGTTTCTGGCAGGACAGATGGTCGACTCATGACCCATCTGATGGCACTTGAAACACCGGCTCTCCGTGTGTGAACAATCCTTGACAAAATGGGGTCCAACACACCTGTAACATCTAAGAGTGGCACCTCCACCCTGCCTCCCTCCTCTAGCAGCCTCAGAAGGTTTCCTAATGACAGGACCTCCTTGTTGTGGTTGAGGCCTATCATATTGCTTCCTCTGATTTCCACCTCTCTTGGACCCAGTTGGTCCCTCAAAAGTCCTAGTCACATGGTTGCCACCTTCCAACCGCTCAACAAATCTTTGCCTTCTCAACTAAGGCCGGAAACTCAGTGATGGTCATAGGCACCACCACCCTTTTCAACTCCTATTTCAAACCCTCAGCAAACTTTATGCATTTCCAAGCCTCAGAAATAGCTTGCAAATAGAAACGAGCCAAGTGCTCGAATCTCATCGCATACTCCGATACAGTCATCCCACCCTGCTGCAATCGCATGAACTCAACCTCCTTGGCGTGCCTCAAGCTCTCTGGGAAGTACTTCTCCAAGAACACTCTCCTGAAGCACTCCCAGTCAACAACCACTCCTCTAACAGTAAGCATATGGTGAGTACCCCTCCACCAATGCTCAGCCTCCCCAACCAGCATGTAGACAGCATATGCCAGCCTCCTCTCTTGAGAACATTCCAACACAGTGAAGTTCTTCTCCAGCTCACAGATCTAGTGGTCAGCTACCTCTGGGTCTGCATCTCCCTTGAACTGTGGAGGATGGCATTTTCGAAACTCAGCAAAATCCATGCTCTCTTGTGACCCCATGGGCCTTGTTGCACGAGCTGCAGCTCTATCAGCCTCCATCCTAGCAAAATAAGCATTTTGCTACTGCATAGCCATAGCCATCATCTCTATGGCACGAGCTATCTGCTCATTGGTTCTAGTCATTGTCTACAAAAGTAACAGCATCTTTAGTATACAATAACTAAACCAAATAACAATCAACAGCACAGTGTTGAGATTTCCGTTGAAGTACTTTTGTTATAATTGAAATTTAGTTTAATTCCATCAACGGTCTCAAACACGGCAAGTATACCGGCCGTTCAAGTAGTAAAAATATCGTATCCACAGGGATTAGAAGGTAAAATAAGCATTTAATGACTATTCGTGACTAAAGAATGATTCCAAATTGTAGTTCGTCATGTATATGAATCGAAGAGCATGACTACTGGAATGAAAGCTATAAATAAATAATGGTTTGTGAGTGGAAAAGGGTAGAAATGGTAATGGTTTTGTGAGGTTGTGGGGTCAGATTTCACCAAACGTTACACTAATGAGTCCTTAATCTCTTGTTAAATTCATTGCTTAGTCAACCCAAGAGTTACTCAAACCTAATCCCTTAGAAAAAGAGCCTAGATGCGGATATTGAATATCAATCCCTTGAGTACCCAATATCTACACCCGCATTACGGGCTAGGGTTTAAGACTACTAATGGGTCAAGCTCTATCCCTAGATACAATCACCACTAGGCATATGTTTCAGAACTAGTTTCAAAGGTTATTTTCCAATACCCATGGAACCTTAAATCATGCAAAGGGTGATCAATCCAAAGCAAACCTATCTTCCAATGCTGAAAGTGGCTACCATCTATATGTTGCCATTGCACATGGCTCACATTTACTTAGAAGGAAAAAAAACACACGTTAATGCAAATGAAATTAAGGTCAAAATGACGTTGTTCCAATGATGCATGTACAAAAATGAAACTCGGTTCAAGTACGATATTTTTGTCTCAATATAATCATTTTTTTCATACATATTATTTTTTACTCTTTTTAATTTATATATTCTCATAAATTCTATCTATAGAGACTAAAAAAATTACAGAAGCTAAAACAAAATCTTTTTTAGCTATAGATACTATTTAAATCTAATGTTTAATATTTTTTAATATAAAATATACAATAATATTAAAAATAGAACTTAAAATATGATACATCTATCCCACCGGTGGTAGTTCACCGAATGTATACTATGGAAAGTGCAACTCCGTTTTCACTCCATAAGAATATTTAAATATCACTTTTCCACTTTAAGAATTAAAAAGTAGTACTTTAATTTTTTTATATTTCATCTTTTTCATTTATGCGCACCTCTGTCCCTTTCAATTTTGGCTAGTTTATCATTTTCGTTTGCCGGAAGAAAGAATGCATCCAAAAATTGTTAATTCGCGGTCGGAAATGAAGATGATTCATAATTTGGCTAGTTTATCATTTTCATATTATTAATAAAATTATTTACCGAATTGTACTTTAAAAAAAATGTAGTACTCTCTTCTCGAGCAAGACAAATTTTCTCCGATCTTTTATAAATAAGTGTTATTATAAATAATATATTTTTTTTTTAAATAAAAGACATGATACAATAATTTATATTGATTTGAAAATAATATAATACATATTTGCACAAATAATATATTTCAACACTATCAGTATGTGTGTTATACAACATTTATTCGTAGAAATATTAAATTAATAACGAAGGTCTCAATTAGTTGAAAGTAGGGGTGTGCAAAAAATTCAAATTGATCCGAACTGATCCATAACCAATCCGATCCATATTGAAAAATCCGATCCATTTTGAAAAAAAATCCGAACCAAACCACTTTATAAAACTGGTTCAGTTATCCGATCTATTTTTACAAAATGGATTGATTCGGTTCGGTTTGGTTTTTAAAAAAAACTGATCCATATATAAGTAAAAAGTGGATAACTGCACCGCCCCAGTATAGCTATACTAAGTAGCTAAATACAACAAAATGATCAAACGCCATTTGTCAGCTGCAAACCCTCCTCAGCACACCAACCTAACCCTACTCTGCTCCCATACATAGTATGATCATCACAGTCCAAACCACATGGAAACAACAAAGGGTAAGCTAGTGAAAAGAATCAACATACATATATTTACATATATGAATGGTAAACAGCTACATCTATTAGCACATCAACCAGCTTAACAACATCAGCTTATAATATATCACAACATACATCTCACATCATTCAGCAAATAATAGCAGTAAACAGCAATAGTCACACAATGCGTCGTCACGCATATCAGTTAGTATTGGTCGCTTGTAATCGGTATAGCTCGACCTGGCCCCTATACCGTGGTCGCTTTGTACACGTGTGCCTCGATCTTGCCCACACATGGGACCACTAAGAACTTAGAGGAGAACAGCTAGTTACCACTCCAAGGGTCAGCTTTCCAGGGAGGGTTTCCAACAAATTGGGCTCTAAGAGCACCCCAGCCGCTGCATCCACACAATGGGATGAGGAAAATTTCGAAAACATCTCCTCTAGTCTTAGTGATCAACAGCTCAGCCTTACGGCCTACAACAGCTCTTATCAGCATGGAGCACAACACTGCATAGCAGCAATAACAGCATACAACTCAACTCAACAACCTACAGCATAGCAATATACATCAACTACAGCTCAACATCATAATTCAGCATTATCAACTAGTTAGCACAACAATATTTAACATCTACAACTCAGCTCAACATATCTATTAGCAAATTTCTACACATATCAGCTTAACATCAAATATCATCTCTATGCCCGGTGCGCTCATGGTTGCACCCGGCGTGGCACAACCAGAGAGCATCAAGGCTAAGCGCGCCCAGCGCAATTCCCATTATGCCTGGCGTGCTAGGAGGCAGAGACCTCAGAAGGTCTCACACGCCCGGCGTGTGAACCTGCGCTCGGCACAGAGTAAGCAGAGACTTTCCCAAAGTCTCACGTCTGGCGCAATATCAATTGCGCCCGGCGCCACCTCTAGCAGAGACCTCCAGGGAGTCTCCACGCCCGGCGAGACGTAGTCACACTCGGCGTTACACTAGAAATCCCAAAAACATGTCACACACTAATATCGCGCCTAGCGCAATCCCACCATGCCCGGCGTGGGCCATCCAGATGCTCACACTCTCAAGCTCGCCTGGCGCATACATCTTTGCGCCTGGCGGGCTTGCCCAAATGGAGCCCTCTGGTGGTCACGCGCTCGGCGCGAAGAACTACGTCCTGCGTGATACTCAGCAGCAACTCACCAAGTTCAAAAATTTCTTCAAAAACTTGCATAAACAACTAGAAAACCAACATGCAAACCAGCCAAAATACCACATTTTCACCAAACAGCTCAAAAACACCACCTTTTTACACATGCAATCACAAACAATGAAATCCCCAAATTTTCACTCAACCCCAAAAACCCCGAAAATGAATATTCATCACCACAGCTCATCAATCAACGAATAATCAGCCACACCATGAGTTTACGAACTCGTTTCCAACCCAAACAGCCATAGACCTAGCTTCCTTTATCTCGGTACGAAGATCCGAGCTCCAGGAAGAGAAGAACGAAAGAGAAGCTTGAACGAACGGAGAATAACAAACTTGAGCAACTAAAGAGGAGAACAAGAGCTCCGAATCACCTACTCAACAGCACCACCTTAAGATAGCAAGGGTTTGAGGAAAAGAAACAAGATAGTGAGTGAGAGTTGGGAAAAGAGAGAGTTTGAGTGAGTGAGAGTAAAGGAATGAAATAGTGAAGAGAAGAGAGTGAAGGAATGAAATAGTGAAGAGAAGAGAGTGGGTGAGAGTGAGGGGAGAAAAGAAGACACACACACATATATCATAATAATTAAAATATTATTCTGAAAAAAATTATAATAAAATTGAATAGTAAAAAAATTTATAAAATATCAAAAATAAAATATTTATATTTATTTATTTATTTTAAATATAGTAACTAAAAATTTAAAAATATATATATATTATTTTAAAAATAAGATAATGATAAAAAAATTTATAATATTGACAAAGTGAAGAGTGCATGGACAGATAACTAAAAGTTTGGACCATCAATTTGATCATCAGAATTTCCATATAAACCTTCAGTTGTATCAACCTCAAAATTTTACTTTTTGAAAAATTTTGCTCCCAAACTTTTATATTTTAATGATTTGTGTTCTGTCGCAACCCGAATATTTTCGATCTCGCGACTAATGGTTTAGACATCCTTTTAAAAGTCTCATTAATTAAGGAATGCCCAGACACCAGACTAATCCTTAATTTATGATTTTGAAAATGAGTTCATGGAGTCTCCACCAATATTTTATTCAAAACATTGGAAAAAGAAAAGGTTTTTAAAGATCCAATAATGACCTTGATAACCAGAATTGGGTTCGGGGATCGGTTACGTGTAGGGCAGGTATTAAGCACCCCTACAGCGCCCTAAATCGGTACCCTATGACGAAGTTAACATTATAAACAATAATAATATAAATATTAAATCCCCT